AGATAAAGAGCCGGTCCCCGGGAAGAGGGCCACATCCTTGTTCCTTATTATTATATACCCCCACCTACCTCGTATTCCGGCCGATAGCGACCCAATCCGGGACCTCCCATCCGGACTGTAAAAAATCAATACAAAGTGGCCGTTTTTCTTCTCAACATTGTCTTTCTTGTCGTCGACGGTGCGAAAAGCGTGGCAGGAATGGGACGCGGCGCACATCGCGCGCGGCAGTCAATCTGGGCCCGCCCATCCTGATGGTAAATTACCTTGTGACGTACCCAACCCATTTGTATCATGGCAAACGAGGAGTTGGCCGAAACTTGCACGGACAATCAAATTGCAGGATCCGTTGTTTGATATGTAAGCTACTTGGGACACGCGCCAATGGAATGATGCGCAGGAGAACCATACAAGAACGAGGGGCGACAACTACAGGCTCGAAGAGGACATGGGGAGTCGGGAACGAAGAGCAGGAGAAAGACGTGCGGGAAGCCCACTGTGCTGGGCCCCCCAGCAGCCCTCGAAAGTGGCGACAGTTTCACAGATCGCAGCCCCCCAGGGATGGCGAGGTCCCATTGAATCCGCCGTGGGTACCCACTGTGCTGGGCCCCCCAGCAGGCCTCGAAAGTGGCGACAGTTTCACAGATCGCAGCCCCCCAGGGATGGCGAGGTCCCATTTGAATCCGCCGTGGGTACCCACTGTGCTGGGCCCCCCAGCAGCCCTCGAAAGTGGCGACAGTTTCACAGATCGCAGCCCCCCAGGGATGGCGAGGTCTAATTTGAATCCGCCGTGGCGTCACTGTGCTGGGCCCCCCCAGCAGGCCTCGAAAGTGGCGACAGTTTCACAGATCGCAGCCCCCCAGGGATGGCGAGGTCTAATTTGAATCCGCCGTGGGCGTCACTGTGCTGGGCCCCCCAGCAGCCCTCGAAAGTGGCGACAGTTTCACAGATCGCAGCCCCCCAGGGATGGCGAGGTCCCATTTGAATCCGCCCGTGGGTACACTGTGCTGGGCCCCCCCAGCAGCCCTCGAAAGTGGCGACAGTTTCACAGATCGCAGCCCCCCAGGGATGGCGAGGTCCCATTTGAATCCGCCGCGGGTGCACACTGTGCTGGGCCCCCCAGCAGCCCTCGAAAGTGGCGACAGTTTCACAGATCGCAGCCCCCCAGGGATGGCGAGGTCCCATTTGAATCCGCCGCGGGTGCCCACTGTGCTGGGCCCCCCAGCAGCCCTCGAAAGTGGCGACAGTTTCACAGATCGCAGCCCCCAGCAGCCCTCGAAACGCAGCGACGAGCCAGGTAAAAGGCAGGGGGGGAGAGAGGGACGGGAAGGAAGGTTCGCGCGAGCAGTGCTCTATTCAAAACGAGAACCCAACGCAGGAGGGTTGGGAAAAGTCAATACAAAGTCTTCGCTTTTCCTCTCAGCATGGCCTGCCTTGTCGCCGACGGTGCGAAATATGTGGCAGCAATGGGACGCGGCGCACATATGGGACGCGGCGCACATCGCGCGCGGCCGTCAATCCGGGCCCGCCCATCCTGACTGTAAAAAATCAATACGAAGTCTCCGTTGTTTCCTCTCAGCATGGCTTGCCTTGTCGCCGACGGTGCGAAATATGTCGCAGGAATGGGACGCGGCGCACATCGCGCGCGGACGTCCATGCGGGCTGCGGGCCCTCCCATCCTGACTGTAGAAAAACATACAGAGTTGCCCTTGTTCCTTTCATCGTGGCCTCTCCAATCGTCGACGATGCGACATGCGTGGCAGGAATGGGGCGCGGCGCACATCGCGCGCGGACTTCTGGGGCAACCCCGAGGCGGGAGGGGCCACCTTACTTGTCAGAAGCAACGCCATTACTTACTTACTTACTTACTTACTTATTTATTTACTTACTTACTACGACTACTACTACTACTACTACTACTACTACTACTACTACTACTACTACTACTACTACTACTACTACTACTACTACTACTACTACTACTACTACTACTACTACTACTACTACTACTACTACTACTACTACTACTACTACTACTAATACTACGACCACTACCTACTACTACTACTACTACTACTACTACTACTACTACTATTCCTGCTACTACTTGTTTTGCAAATGGTACTACCAATGGCATTACTACTAGTCTAGCAGTAGTACGAGTCTTACTAGTAGTTCTACTTCCATAGTGCTACTACTCTGTACTACTACTCGTACGACTACACGTACTACCTGTAGTACTTCTGCTTATACTACTCGTATTATTACTTGTACTACTCGTATTACTACCTATTCGCATCCCACTGTACTATTACTACTACTACTACTACTACTACTACTACTACTACTACTACGAGTACTACGAGTACTACTACTACTACGAATACTACTACTATACTACACCTACTACTACGACTACTACTACTACTACTACTACTACTACTACTACTACTACTACTACTACTACTACTACTACGACTACTACACTACTACTACTACTACTACTCCCTACGTACTACTACTACTACTACTACCTACTACTACCACTACCACTACCACTACCACTACCACTAACTACCACTACCACTACCACTACCACTACCACTACCACTACCACTACCACTACAACTACAACTACAACTACAACTACAACTACAACTACAACTACTACCACTACTACTACTACTACTACTACTACTACTACTACTACTACTACTACAACTACTACAACAACAACCACAACAACAACAACAACAACAACAACTACTACTACTACTACTACTACTACTACAGTACTACTACTACTACTACTACTACTACTCCTACTACTACTACTACTACTACTACTACTACTACTACTACTACTACTACTACTACTACTACGCGCCAGCACCCAGTTGCGCTAGCATTGTTTCCTATGTTGTGGGAGGGCGGAACGTGTCCGTTGTTCCTTTCAACATGGCCAGTCTTGTCCTCGACGATGCGAAATGCGTGGCGGGGATGGGACGCGGCGCGCATCCCGCGCGGACGTCAATGCGGTGTCCTGGGGTATCCTCCACTCGCACTGAAATGCCCGCGCAGCCCCCAGTTGTGCCATCACTGTTTCTTATGTTGTGGGAGGGCGGGTGGGAATGGGCATGCCATGCTTGACTCGCTCGAGCTGGCTAGCGTGATGCGAACCCTACCCCGACCCCCCACGATTTCCGAGGGGGAGGGTGGGGTTCACTTCGTTCGGGAGCTCCCGAGCGAAGTGAACCCCACCCTCCCCCTCAGGAATCGGGGCCGTCACGAAGCGTCTCGGGATACGTCGGGCCTGTCCCCCTACAGGGGGATTCTCGACGACACATGTAAAAATACCCTAAAAAAGGTACAAAAATAATCCAAGAATAGTCTGGGGACTATTTTTGAGCATGTTTCTGATCTTTTTGGGGTATTTTGGGGGTATTTTTAATTTTTCGTCGAAAATCCCCCTGTAGGGGGACACGCCCGACTTAATTTCGGGATAAAGAGCCGGTCCCCGGGAAGAGCGCCCTCGGGGAGTCACGCTGTGAAATAGCACAACGTCGGACGTCTTTGTCGCCGTCGTAGTCGCTGTCGCTGTCGCCATCCTCGTCTTCGTCGTCGTCGTCGTCGTCCTATTCGTCGTCGTCATCGTCGTCGAATGTTCTTGTCAGGAATGCTTCCAGGGGTTTTCGAGTACGCTCACGGCGCCGTCTGCACGCGAGCTGGCCTGCGAGCGGGCAAGGGAGCAAGCGAGCAAGCGAGCACGAGAGCAGCAGCAGGCGGGCGAGCAAGCAGCAGCACCAGCCGTCGGGCACCGCGAGCAGGGCAGGCAGGGCAGGCAAGGCAGCACGGCAGCAAAAGGCAGGCAGTCCAGGCAGGGAGACATACCACAGCAGGCTGGCAGGCCGGCCGGCCGGCCGGCCGGCAAGCCAGACAGCCATCCGAGCATGCATTGGGGGGCGGCCTGCGGGGGACACCGCAGGCGTCGGAGCCGACGGGGGCGAGGCACGGCCCACAGGCCGGGCACGGGCCCCCATATGGCATCGGGGGGAGCAGGCCTCTCGGCAGGCCCCTGGCAGCCCTCGGGCCATCGCAGCCTCTGCTGGAGAGGGCGCCACACAGGATCACTGGGGGAACGAAACGTGACATAAGCATGAAAACTCGGAGGTCCGCGCGGATTCCTCGGATCGGCGCTGGGGCCCACCGGCAGCGCCTCTGGCGCCGCCCCTGGCGCGCTCCGCGCGCCAGGGAGGGGGGGTCCGGCGCCGATCCGAGAAGTCCGCGCGGACCTCCGAGTTCTTATGTTTCTGCCACTTTTCTAATCCCAGCTTTTTTCGTTTCTGCTTTTAGCTTTTATGTTTGGTGTTCGGCTCCCTGGTCACAAACACCCCACAGCACAGCACCTGGAGGCTCCACGGTCGCCCCAGAGCGGAGAGCGGGACGCCGTGCTCGTCGCTGGGCCGGCGCCGCGCACCGCCAGAGGGCGCCCCGCGCCGCGCAGTCATCTTGGGATCGAGCGACGGCCAGAGCCAAGCAGTGGCGAAGCGTCCTGGCTCGCTTATAGCCCTACCAAACAATGCTCTAAGAACCTTTTTGTGGTTCCCACGACATGTTTTTAGAGCATCTCTGGCGGGGACTGTCTTGTTTTATCACATCGGGTTAGTGTTCTAAGAACACTGTTTTTGTTCTTAGAACATGTATGGGTTCTAAGAGCATTTCGTGGTAGGACTATAGGAATGCTGGGACGGTCGGTCCCTGCTAACACAACAGAGGCCCCTGCGGTCAGTCTTAAGTCGGGCCTGTCCCTCTGCAGGAGGAATCTGCAAAAATAGTCCAGACATAGTCAGGGAACGTTTTTTTTCAAAAACCATTTTTTTGACTACTTTGGGGTATTGCTTGACTATTTCTCAGTTTTCCTCCAAGATCCGCCTATAGGGGGACATGCCCGACCTAGGTTCGTCGTCACCTTGCCCGGGGGTTGTGAGCCTGTGTCTTCAGCAATGGCGGAGGGCCGCATCTACAACTTCTCCGCGGGCCCCAGCCAGATGCCCCTGGAGGTGCTGGAGGAGGTCCAGAGGGAGCTCGTGAACTACAAGGGCACGGGCATGAGCGTGATGGAGATGTCGCACCGCTCCAAGGAGTACATGGCCATCGCCGCGCAGGCCGAGAAGGACCTCCGGGACATCTACGGCATCCCCGGCGACTACAAGGTGAGCGACGAAGGAAAACGGGCTCGGTTTCACCGATGTTGGCGCGTAAATCGCCCGCGTACAGGCGCGCGTAAGCGCCCTCGTTTCCAATGTAGCGTGCCACGCTGGTGGTCCTCGTAAGCAATCGCGTAAGGTCGCTGTGCCGTCTCGCGAAAGACCTGTCTATTGTCCTCGCTCAGGTGATGTTCGCGCAGGGCGGCGCGACCCTGCAGTTCTCCTCCGTGCCCCTCAACATGCTCGGGTCCAACCCCAAGGCCGACTACATCGTCACGGGCCAGTGGAGCGACAAGGCATCCAAGGAGTGCAAGAAGTACGGCGTCCCGAACAACGTCTGCGACACCAAGGCGACCAAGTACACAACCATCCCGGAGAACTCTACTTGGAAGCTCGACAAGGAGGCCGCGTATCCACCGAAGCCTCGCGGCGAGCCGCCGCGCGCCCTGTGCACGGCTGCCTGCTCCCCCCGCTCGTAACCTTGGTGTGGTGCTGCGTGGTGGTCGTCCGCTGGACCCCCCCTGCGCAGATCTGCCCCTGCGTGGATGTCTGAGTTGTGCTCGTTTGCTCGTGTGTGTGTGTGTGTGTGTGTGTCCGCTCGCGCCTCTTTGCTCCTTCGCTTCGTGCCTTCCTTCCCTTCCGGTGCAGCCCACCGCTCGCTTTGACCGGCGCCTGACCGTCTCGCACACCTTGGCGCCAGCGGACTTGAACAGTGTGTGCTCGCGCGAGGGTGCTTCGGCGTGACCTCTCTCGTGATCTCCAGTCTAGCGCAGGTCGCGATTTACTAGTGCGCGGGTTGTCTGGCGCATCCTACGGCGCAGCCCAAGCGGAGGAAGGTAGAGAGAGAGAGAGAGAGAGCCGGGAAATCGTGATTTGGTGGTGCGCGGGGTGCTTGGCGCAACAGTTCGGGCAACCTATGGGGCATCCAACGGACGATCGACGAGCGACTTTGTGGTGCGTGGGGTGTTTAGCGCAACGCTTGGTGCAACTCATAGAAGGCATGCTTGCAGTGTGGGAACACCGCGATGTGTCTGGTGCAGCCTACGGCGCTGCCCGCGGCGCAACCTGTGGCGCATGCTCAAGGCCTTCTGGCGGGGTGAGGCACTGCTGCGGGGGCCACGCATTGCCAGGGCCGAGACTAGGGGAACAAAAAGTGGCATGAACATAAAACTCGGAGGCCCGCGCGGATTTCTCGGATCGGCGCTGGACCCTCCTCCATGGCGCGCGGAGCGCGCCAGGGGCGGCGCCGGAGGCGCCGCAGGGGGGCCCCAGCGCCGATCCGAGGAATCCGCGCGGACCTCCGAGTCTTCATGTTTCATTGTGCCACTTGGCGTATCCCTCGGGACGGATCCATCGACCCAGAGACTCCGGAACCCTCGGCCTGGGCGTAGCGAAGCGCTGCAGGCAAGACGCCGAGGCAAGGACCGCCTCTTCCAGGAGGGGAACAAATTTAATCTTCGATTCCCCAGAAGAGATGGGAGAATAGGGGAAGTGGGGGGGGAGCCAAAAACCCAGAATATATGAGAAAATATGAGGAATCTTCTTACTTGTTTGTATTTATTGGAGAGGCCTGACGGCCAGTGCCGCCGACCCCGATCGAAAGGGCTAGGAGTGGGGGGAGGAAGCGGAGGATGAGGAGGAAGAGGAGGAGGAGGAGGAGGAGGAGGAGGAGGAGGAGGAGGAGGAGGAGAAGGAGGAGGAGGAGCAGGAGGATTAATTTGTGTGTCCCAGGGCCCCTGCATTCTTCGGGTGCGGGCGGGGCTCGCGGCGTCTGCGGGCCGCTCCCGAGAGGCCCTGGCCCCGGGGAGCCTCCTCGTGGCCGGAGCGCTCGCCGCGGCCAGTGGAGGCCGCCTCGTGCCTGGGCCGGCCTACCTCGTGCCGGCACGACGACTGTACTCCAGATTTCGTAATACAGGGAGGGGGGTCTCATTTCGGGGGGGGGTCTCTTCCAGGCTATCTTGGAGGGCCTGGGGGGTCTGGGGACGATGTCTTGGAGGGTTCTCCCACGGGGGAGGTCTGAAATGGCTTGTCTTGGAGGGTCCAGACCCCCTCCCTTTTATTACGAAATCTGGAGTAGCCAGAGGACCACACGCGCGCTGTCCTCGATCCTCGGGCCCCGGTCCTGAGGGCGCTGGAGAAGAGGCTCTGCTCAGTGTCACCACCCACCAAACCACCCCAACCCAACCCGAAGGCTCAGATTCACCCTCGATTTCTAGTGGGGAGGGGGTCGAGAAACATCGAAAAACTACGCGTGGAACCCCTTACCCCCCCCCAGCCCGAAATTCGGGTCTTCGGGTTCGGTTGGGGTGGTCTGGTAGGTAGTCAGTCCTCGATCCTCGGGCCCCAGCCCTGAGGGCGCTGGAGAAGAGGCTCTGCTCAGTGGGCGCTGCGTGCTGCAGCACGACGGCTGGCTGTCATCTTCCCTCCGTTGTTGGAGCCTCGGGGGACCTCGCGGGCGGAGTCCGGCGGACGTCCACTACTGCGACAACGAGACCGTGAACGGCGTCGAGTTCGGCTTCTGCCCCGACGTCGGGGAGGTGCCCCTCGTCGCCGACATGTCCTCCAACTTTGTCTCCAGGCCGATCGACGTGTCCAAGCACGCGTACATCTACGCGGGCGTGCAGAGGAGAAACTGATAGCGATTCCGCTGCCGGTCTAGGAGAGTCCTCGTCATGGATTCTCCTTGAAATTCTGGTCAGAATGCACCTTGGGGGCGATCCGGGGAAGAGTGGTATCGGTACATGTTTGTCCCCCAGGCGCGCAGAAGAACCTGGGCCCCGCCGGAATTTCCATCGGCATCCTGCACCCTAAGTTCGCCGACGGCTCGAAGGAGCTGAAGATATGCCCCACATATTGCAGCTTCAAGACCATGGCAGACAACGGCTCCATGTACAACACCCCGGCGAGCTTCACGTGGTACGTCATCGGCGAGTACCTCAAGTACACCAAGAAGGTCGGCGGCGTGCAGTACTGGGCCGAGCAGTCCGACAAGAAGTCGGGCCTCATCTACAGCATCATCGACGGCTCCGACGGCTTCTACCAGTGCCCCGTGGACAAGAAGTGCCGGTCCCGCATGAACGTGCCGTTCACCATCAGCGGCGGCGACGAGGACGCGACGCGGTGGAGGGGGGGGGGCAGGGGGAGTGTCCGCAGACGGGGGGCTCAGCGGGGGGGCCGGCCCCAGCAGGCGTCGGGGGGCTCCCGCGAGCCTCTGGAGGAGGAGGAGGAGGAGGAGGAGGAGGAGGCTTCGGAGGAGGAGGGCGGGGGGAGGCTTCGGGGGAGGAGGGCGGGGGGAGGCTTCGGGGAGGCCCGGCAAGGACCGAGCGCGTGCGAGCAATCCCATCCCCTCGAGCAGGGGCGTCGGCCCTCCCTCGGAGAGGGCGGCCTTCAGGCCAGACCTCTGCCGGGGTGCGCTCTTTGAGAAGGGGCCTCGACGGGGGAGTCCAGCAGTGGCGTCGAGAAGCTCCCAGGAGCTGCAAGAAAGGTGAATCACAGTAAACAAACAGACGCGCATCCGCACACAAGACTCAGAGGCAACGTTAGCGGGGATAGGCTCAGGGGGGAAGGCATCGACCCCCAATCGCCCATGGATCGCCGATTAGGGGCCTGGTAGCCCACCCCGCCCAGGAACGTCTGGCTTCGCAATCGCCGATGTGACGCCGATCTATCGGCGATTTCAGCTCCACGATTCCCGCCCCCGGGCTGCCCCCCCCCCCCCCCGCCGCTGACGATGCCGCCGCCGCTGACGCCGCCGCTGACGATGCCGCCGCCGCTGATGCCGCCGCTGACGATGCCGCCGCCGCTGATTCAAGAACCCAACCGAAAGCTCCGAACATCTGGTACGTTTCGGGCCCCCCCAGCGATGCGATGCCCACCATACGGTCAAGACGCTGGAGCAAGGACCACTCTGGGTGCAGGAGAGGCTCCAGTGCCGCGGGCCGTTCCCGCGGAGCCAGGTCGGTGAGCCTGCCGGTGGCCGATGCCCACCGTGGCCAGAGAGAGACGCCCCCATTCGCTCCTGAGCTGGGCTTCCTCGTGGCAGCACGACGGCTGCAAACACAACCACACGCACGCTATCCTCGATCCTCGGGCCCCTCCTCCTCCTCCTGCTCCTCCTCCTTATCCTCCTCGTCTTTCTCCTCCTCCTCGTCCTCGTCCTCCTCCTCCTCCGCCTCCTCCTGCTCCTCCTCCTTCTCCTCGACCTCGAAGGCCCTGGAGAAGAAGTTCCTGGACGAGGCCAAGAAGGTGAAGCTTTTCACCCTGGCGGGCCACCGCTCGGTGGGCGGGTGCCGCGCGTCCCTCTACAACGGCGCCGGGGGGGGGCCACCAGCAATGTCACGAGGACGAGGACGACGAGGACGACGAGGACGACCGCCGACGACGAGGAGGAGGAGGAGGAGGAGGAGGACGACGACAAGGACGAGTACGACGACGACGATGACGACGACGACGGCGATGACGTCGATGACAACGACGACGAGTACGAGCACGAGTACGAGTATGACGTCGACAAGGACGAGTACGAGTACGAGTACGACGACGACGACGACGACGACGACGACGACGACGACGACGACGACGACGACGACGACGACGACGACGACGACGGTGACGACCCTGGATCTCGAGGCACCGCGAGCCGAGAAAGTATCGCGGAGGGCGCTCGCCCGCAGGAGTTTTTCCGGTCCGTTGGGGGTGGGCTGGAGCCGAGGGGAGAACACTCCGCCGAGGTCTGGGTCCTCCTCCTCCTCCTCCTCCTCACCCTCCTCCTCCTCCTCCCCCTCCTCCTCCTCCTCCGCCTCCTCCTCCTCCTTCTCCTCCTCCTCCTCCTCCTCCGTCCCAGGCATGCCCCTGGAGGGTGTCGAGAAGCTCGGGGAGTTCATGAAGTCCTTCCTGGACGAGAACCGCAAGTGAGGGCCGGGGCCGGCGCTCCCGAGTCGCGCAGGCGGTGGCAGGACGAGGGTCGTGGGGGATCGAGAGAAAGCGAGTAGGATCGAGGAGGAGGAGGAGGAGGAGGAGGAGGAAGAAGATGAGGGGGAGGAGCAGCAGCAGCATCCAGGGGCATGGAGGAGGATCGGGATGGAAGGAGGGGGAGGAGCATGGGGAGGGGACGAAGAATCGAGGAGATTGAGGATCGATGAGAGGGTATCGATGTATTTTGCGGTTTCTGTGTTGCGATTTTGCTCGGCTTCCGAGAGGGCCCCCCTCGCCACGGCTGGATTCCCCTGGACGTTCTGTTCAAAACGCATCCCTGGGGAGGTTCGGAGGTTCACTCTTGAGCAGGCAGGAAGGACGAAAGCGAGAAGAGTAGACGGAGGGAGGAGAGGAGAGGAGAGGGAGGTGGCAAGAGGCGGATGAAGATGGTGGTGGTGGTGATGATGATGCTGGTGCTGCTGATGATGATGCTGATGCTGCTGATGATGCAGATGCTGATGCTGATGCTGATGCTGATGCTCTTGGCGATGATTCTATCCTGATGCTCGCTCATGATGATGTCGATGCTAATGGAGGTGGTGACGGGTAGTTTTGGCGGTGATGATTGTAAATGCTGCGATGACGAGGATCATCAGACTGCTGCTGACGTTTATGCTGCTGATGCTACTGCTGATGCTACTGCTGATGCTGCTGGTGATGATGATGACGACGACGACGGTGATGATGCTGATGATGATGACGATGATGATGGTGGTGATGATAATGGTGATGATGCTGATGCTGCTGATGATGATGGTGATGCTGATGGTGATGATGCTGATGCTGATGATGTTGATGCCGCTGCTGCTGAGGATGCTGCTGATGAGTATGATGCTGCTGATGCTTCTGCTGATGATGTTGCGGATGCTGATGATGAAAGGTAATGGTGTCGATGTCGATGGTGCTTTTGTGACGGTGACGATGTCGATGCTGATGATGCTGCTGATGATGATGATGCTGATGCTGATTATGGTGGTGATGACGATGGCGATTCTATTGTCGATGTCGGCGGCTATGACTGTGATGCTGATTACCAGAATGATAATGATGATGCTGATAGGATGATGCTGATGATCGTGATGATAATAATGATGCTGATGATGATGGTGGCGATGATGACAATCATAACGATGCTGATGCTGGTGATGATGACGACGACGATGAAGACGACGATGCCGATGACGATGCTGCTAGTGCTGATGCTAATGCTGATGATGATGCTGATGGTGATGATGAGGTTGTTGACTTTGCTGCTGACGTCAATGCTGACGACAATGCTGATGAATATGATGATGATGATGATGATGATGATGATGATGATGATGATGATGATGATGATGATGATGATGATGATGATGATGATGATGATGATGATGATGATGATGATGATGCTGATGCTGATGATGATGATGATGATGATGATGATGATGATGATGATGATGATGCTGACGATGATGAATGTTTCTTTATGCTGGTTAGAAGGGGGACTGTACTTGTGGTAGTGCTGCTGCCGATGATGATGACGATGATGACGATGATGCTCCTGATGATCAGGATGCTGCTGCTGATGATGATGATGATGACGCCGACGACGATAGCGATGACGATTATGATGATGCTGCTGATGATGCTGCTGCTGACGAGGGTGATGATGACGGCGATGATCATGAGGATGCTGATGATGATGCCGATGCTGATTGCGATGCTGGTGATGAGAATGATGCTGATGACGATGGTGATACTGGCGACGATGATCATGCTGATGTCGACGATGATGATGATGATAATGATGATGATGATGATGATGATGATGATGATGATGATGATGATGATGATGATGATGATGATGATGATGATGATGATGATGATGGTGCTGATTGTGCTTATGCTTATGATTCTGCTGATGGTGATGGCGATGACGACGATGATGATGACGATGATGAGGATGATGATGATGCTGCTGATGATGATGATGATGATGCTGTTGCTGCTGCTGCTGATGATGATGACGCCGACAACGATAACACTGACGACTCTGACGATGATGCTGCTGATGATGCGGCTGACGAGGGGGATGATGACGATGATGATCATGAGGATGCTGATGATGACGATGATCATGTCGATGCTGCTGATGATAATAATGCTGATGATGATTCTGATACTGACGATGCTGCTCATGATGATTATGATGGCGACGACTACGATGATGATGATGATGATGATGATGATGATGATGATGATGAGGATGATGATGATGATATGATGATTGTGATTCCGATTCTGATTATGACTATGATTATGATGATGGTGATCACTATGACGACGATGATGGTGATGATAATGATATCGGAATTGATGATGATGCTGTCGATAATGCTTACGATGATGATGATGCTGATGCTGCTGCTGACGATGATGACGATGATGATGATGATGGTGGTGGTGGTGGTGGTGGTTGTGGTGAGGATGATGATGATATTGCTGCTGCTGCTGCTGATGATGATGATGGTGATGATGATGATGATGATGATGATGATGATGACGATGATGATGATGATCATGATGGTGGTGGTCATGATGCTGCTGCTGCTGATGATTCTGATTATGATGGGTGATGATGGTTCTGCTGCTGCTGATTATGCTTCTGATGATGCTGATGAGTATGAGTATGAGCATGGTTTTTGCTATGCTTACGAATCGGGGTCAGGCGTCAATTCTGATGATGGTGGCGATGTTGATGACGATGACGGTGATGATGAGAAATACGGCGACGGTGATGCTGATGATTGTGAGGATGATGGTGACGTTGCTGAGGAGGAGGAGGAGAAGGAGGAGGAGGAGGAGGAGGAGGAGGATGAGGAGGATGAGGAGGATGATGATGAGGAGGAGGAGGAGGAGGAGGAGGAGGGGGAGGAGGCAGAGGAGGAGGAGGAGGAGAGGAGGGGGGGGAGGAGGATGAGGAAGAGGAGCAGAGGGGGAGGGGAGAGAGGGGGATGAGGAGGAGGATCCAGAACCTCTCAGAGCCCCTCAGAGCTCCCCAGAACGTCCCAGCTCCCCCCTCCCAGAAATCCCTCCCTCCTCCTCTGCCTCGCCTCTTCCCCCAAGTCCTCCTCCTCCTCCTCCTCCTCTCCTCGCCTCCTCCTCCTCCTCCTCCTCCTCCTCCTCCTCCAGTCTTGCTCCCCTAGAGCGCGCTGCCCTCAAGATGCGCCCTCCCTCCTCCTGACGCCGCCGCTGCGGGCTCCCTGGGCCTCCGCGAGACGTGGCCCTGGGGCCGTTCTGAAGCTCGTCGTGAGGGCCCCCGGATGCTAGACGCTCAGACAAACGACGTATCTTCAATCGAAGTGGAGAACCGGCAGAAGCAGATGCGGATTTCTTGGATCCGCGCGGGGCCCTCGCGGGGTCCGGCGCGGATCCAAGAAGTTCGCGCGGGCCGTCAAAATCTTATGTTTACAGTGGAGTCCCATGCCAAGAAACACCCTGCCTGCCTCCAGGGTGCTGTGAGTTTCTTGCGTTTCGATGTTTTTTGCGATGGAAGGCGCGACACTCCCACACCAACAGTCAATGCACATCCTGGGGTCTCAGGGTTGGGTTTCTTGTGGAAGGTTTATTTTGGTCGGGTCCCCACAGTGTGCAGTTGTTTCTTCTTCCTGTGTAAGTTGCTGCATTAAGGATCAGCTCGGATTCGGGAGGGTCCCGCCGCTCCTTAGGTCCTTCGGTGGCGTGATTCATCCAGCACGCCCCGTGCGCTCAGGCGCTCTCGGGGCCACACGAGGGGCTCCGCCCTTCACGAAGTGTTCCTGTGGTAGTAGCTCGGGCGAGGAGGCATTATGCACATGCACCGGCCCTGGCCAGGCCCATCCTGAGCCCAATATTGGCGCGTTTGCTTTCCGGGCCAAGCCAGTAGGCCCTGTGCACCGACCCTGTCCCCGTGATGGGCTTGGTCAGGGTCGGTGTACCCTGATATCAGACGTTGCGAAGCAAATGCAGCGTCGCGAAACATCACGACCGGAGTCCTAGACCCCATCTTTCTTCACCCTTGTTCGGGCCAGATCGGTCCTTGATGGCCCTGGGCCCGACATTGGGCGAGACCTCCTGTGGTGAAGAACCTGCAACGCACGGATCTCAGGGTATGTGCAGAGTTTGTTTCGGTGGCGGGCGAGGGGGGGAAATGAGAAGGAGAAGGCCTTCTCAGAAGGCGGCGGGGCTTCTCAGAAGCCTTCGCGCCTTCTGAGAATCTGTTGCTTGTGCCTTCGGGGAAAGCTCCGAACCCTCCCCTAGAAGGCCGGGGGCCCTCCGAGCCTTCGGAGAAGGCCTCCTCCTTCTCACTTCCCCCCCCCTGCTCGCTGCCAAGACTGAGATGCAACTCCTCGGAGGTCAAATTCTGATTTTGCACTGGTCCGAAGTCCGGCTTAATCTGACTTAATTCGGGGGTGGACAGAACCCCCAACAGTGACACGTCGATTAGTGAATTGTCCGTTTTCGGTTCTCGAGAGGGCGCCGCGGCCGTGATTTTCCAGGCTTGCGCCCGCCAGGTTTGGGCCTCAGGTCGTTTTCACTAAACCACGTTTTACTAAAGGGGGGTCTGTCCATCCCCGATTAATGCCGCTTAATCCCGCTTAGTCCCGCTTAATCCGGCTAAGTCCCGCTTAATCCGAGGCCCACTCCGGCGCAGTAGCTCCCGAATGGGGCCTGATCCCCCTCATGATCTTTCCGACGGAAGCCTCCCAGTCGTTGCCTCCTAGCCAAGAGCCTCCTCCTTCGTCTGGCAGCTCGGCCGGTGCTCGGGCACGCCGCGCGCACCCGGGGGGAGGCGCGCGACACCGGTAGGGGGCCACATGCGAACCCTACCCCTACCCCCCACGATTTCTGAGGGGGAGGGTGGGGTTCACTCCATTCGGGAGTTCCCGAGCGAAGTGAACCCCACCCGAGCGAAGTGA